GCGCTGCGGCTACATGTTTGTAAACACGGCCACAACTTCAGTGCGTTCCGAACTCACGTACAGAACGGTCGCATCATCATCATCATCGCCTCACACGAGCCACCGACCACAACCACAAAACGCCGCCACCGGCATATTTCTTGTAGATTTCATACATTTTATATGGACTCGCCACACACGGTACGCCGGTGGCCGCCACACGCTACAAATCGTCGTTGCTCGCTTCTTGTGGCCCGCACCGGCCACTTAATACGCCGCCACACGTCACTCGCGTGATTCCCCACCCCTCTCTCCCTTACCTTAGTCGGCCGCTGTCGCGCGCTTCAGCCACTTTAGTAGCCGCTTCTAGCTTCTCGTGGCGGCGTTTGTGGCTGTGGCGTGTGGCCCGTGTGCGGCAACACATACATATGACAATATAACTAGCTCCTAACCTTTCAAAAATTTGAAAAGTTGGCTTAGCTTTAACTCTATACTACTCGCCTATTATAATAGCAACTAAAACGACGTCGTGTTCCCAATGGAATACATTTACTATGAAAGTTGATCTCCCTTGACATTTTTATATTTGAACCACCTTCCTTTCCATTGACAACTCTTTATTTGTAGATATACAAAAAAGGGGGTGGATATTTTAAGAGAAATTTCTAATGTCAGGGCTTGCAACGGCGCGAGTAATTAAAATACTATAATAAGAATTAGTCACATTTATATAGGTAATTAATATAGGTAATTGAATAGAAAAATTTGCATGTTATCTTTATATGACTAAATAGGTTAAGAGACAACTTAGATGAAATGTAACACCATTATTTGTACCCTATTTAATGCAAATAAATTGAATTGAATTGAGTGATATTTTGGTATCGCAATTAATTTAATAAGGAAAAATTTAAGCATTAAAAAATACATTGAAACGTTTACTAAATGTGTCTAACTATGTACGTACCCGTATCTGTTACCTATCACAAAGGCTAGTAAAAAAATTAGTTTACCTAAAATTCCATATCAATAAACAAGACAGAATTCTTCAGAAAACCTGAGACGCGATAGATTTCACGTTTCGTTACAAAGAAACCGCCCGCCGCCCGCTGGGTAATATTTTCCGAAGCCATCTGTTACATGTGGCGTTATGCTTTTAGCTGCGCATGCGTTGACAGGTTTACACGCGCGGGGCGGCGCGCGAGCACACAATACGTGTAATACTGTTTCATGTCAGTGTTACGGACTATGTTGTGAGAAAGAGTTTTGTGCTATAATAGAAAATATTGTACCTGCCAACTGCAATTTTCATTTCATTTAGCATTTTTTTCTCGATGTAACATTGAATTTTTAACGTCTTATTAATTTATCATATATTTATTTATTTACTATTTACACAGTATACTTACAGTGCTTAAACGAAACGTACACTCGTTAAAAAAGCAATAGGGTATTAGACAAGTTTTAGAAAACGATCTCACGGTATTTACTAATGTTTATGGAGTCCGTAAAAAGTGGATATTCATCATTATCTTGTGTATTTCGGTAAAAGAACTAAATCAAAAACTCTATTTTCAAGTTGCCGCGAAAAACGTATCTCTGAACAATATGGCGTCTCACTGGTGTGTGACGTCACACCACTGTCATTAAAACGTCAAACCATAAAATCTAATGTCACTTTAACCGGAAGTTTACTTGCGTGTGACGTCATTTTCTCCACCAATCCAAAGCGTTTTGGGTCACGTGACAATAGACAAGAAAACTATTATCCTTATCGTGGGTTTTTAGAAAAATTATGAATATTTTTTCTGTAAAAATAGTAAAAAACTCCTGCCAATATTCATTCTAAATACAGATGCTAACAATTGGCACTTTATTTTTAATACTGGCAAATACCCTATTGTAACGGCTGAACACTATTTCCCTTATTAATAAACGCAGAATAAGCTTGGATTAGTTACTCTATGTTATGTTCATTGAATGACAGATGTCATTTGGAGTGATATGAACAAAACACGGCGTAACTAGTCAAAGAAATCTTGTGCCTCGTTTATTAATAATGGGGGTAGCGTACACTTCAATATGACATTGGATAATAATAAAATATACTTTATAAGCGACCTCGCACCGGGAAGCGCAGTGCCGGTAGACCCCTCACGAGGTTTACTGACGACATCAAGCGAGTTGGGGATCCACTGGATGCGGGGAGTGCAGGATCGTTCAATATGGAAATCCCTTGAGGAGGCCTATGTCCAGCAGTGGACATCCATCTGCTGACGTTGATGATGATGATGATGACTTAAATATTTGACAATATGTCAGCCTCCGTAATCCGATAATGTGTTAAGACATTGCTCTCAAAGTCGGTGCATTTTGAGCTGGTCGCGTACGTACTCCTTTAAGCTCCGCAATAACTTTTGTCCGTCGTTGGTTAAGAGCGGACGTGAGCTGAAAGACTTTTGAGAAATAGGTTATTTGAAAAAAACTATTGCTGTCACGTATTGGCCAATACCATGCGATAGGGACAACATCAGTTAACGCTGAAAATTGCGTATAAATATTACAAAATTCGAGGTTGGTTCTCGACGATTTCCTCCTCGAAAATTACATATATTTAATTTTTACACAAAGAATAATAAGTAGTCATACTATGCCTAGCTATATATTTATATATATACTATGGCGTAGCTTCTAGATATTCAGAAGTGCTGGTAACAGCTTAATTTATTATCTCGAGCTCCTCCGTGCTTCGGAAGGCACGTTAAGCCGTTGCTCTCGGCTGCCTCAGCAGTCGTTAGCACCCACCAAACCGCACTGGGCCCGTGTGTTGTTCATGGTCCAATGTCCCTATTTCATCCATAGGGAAGGCCTGTGCCCCTTTTTTTGTTAACGCAGGCATAACCTCTGTTTACAGACGACGGCGCCTTTAAGAGGCTCACCGCCGAACGGACCTCACACCTGGCTCCCGCAAGCTTTACGGGCCCCCGCAGTGGCTGCCCACTGAGGACCCCGTAACTTTAACGGGCGCTTTACGGCATAATATCCGCTAAAAAACTCTGCGAATACCCTCTAAGCTGCTTAGTGCGAAGCCACGGGATCCCTGAGGCCTGTTCCCCTGTAGTGGGGACATTATTAGGCTGGCGATGATGATGACAATGAACAGCCTAAAGCATTAGTGTTGCGTAGGACACGACTTGAAAAAGAGTTTGTAAGAGTAGCCTCTTTTTTTGTACTGAGCCAGTACAATGTCCCACATCAAATGAGGCGAGGCGAACAGAAGCTCGACGAGTAGCACCTCCTCTACGCACTATCAATCTTGCTGGATCCAGCATGCAGGACAGCGCTTTACACGTAAAAAAGATAGAGATACAGATGGATAGTGCGTAGAGGACTTAAATGAAATGTCATGCCTCGCTCTCTCTCAGACTTACGAAGTAGTGTTGAGTAGGACTAACAAGAGGCGGTACATTTGTCCCGGACATGACGCCAAATTGTAAGAGCGGCTCAAAATTTTAAAATGTACTACTTCACATTAAATGTCGCGATAGTTGCGTTTCGTTACTCACTCACTCTTCGTAAGTCTGAGAGAGAGAGCGAGGCATGACATTTCATTTTAGTCCTCTACGCACTATCCATCTGTATCTCTATCTGTTTTTCGTGTATAGCGCTGTCCTGCATGCTGGATCCAGCAATATTGATAGTGCGTAGAGGAGGTGCTACTCGTGCACACAAACGTAATGTCGAGCTTCTGTACGCCTCAATGTCATATTTGTACTCGTCACTTCAAATGTATTGCCGAGCTTCAGTACGCCTCGCCTCATTTGAAGTGGGACATTGTACTGGTTCAGTACAAAAAAGAGGCTACTCTTACAAACTCTTTTTCAAGTCGTGTCCTACCCAACACTATTACGAAGAGTGAGTGAGTAATGAGACGCGACTATCGCGACATTTAATGTGAAGTAGTACATTTTAAAATTTTGAGCCGCTCTCCGCTGAGTCCGGGACAAATGTACCGCCTCTTGTAAGTCCTACTCAATACTATAAAGCATAACTATTAGGAATAAATGATTCCGGGTTTAATGCATAAGGTTTCTATCAAACAACTTTTGCAAGCGGCTGTACAAAGAGCACGGCTTATTTGTATGCTCTCTTACCCTCCTTATAACTGTCAGACTTGACATTTATTGGCTATTGTCAAAGGCGTGTGCACATTATCACAACGTAGGTATGCGCTTACGCAATAGACCTAATAGAATTCCGTCTTTGATTTATGAAAATGGACGTTCTTAGAGCAATAACTAAACATCATAATTGATGGGATGCTGACGTATTTATTGTGTTAATGACAAGTCTTTTATGGTGCCACGAAACCATAACTAAACACATTAGTAACTGTTGACAAAAGAACAATTCATTATATTAGAGTGCGACGAAAAAAATGCTTCAGTTTTAAATTTATCGTAGGAGTATCAGAGGCTATCAGACTTTGAGTTTTCCGAAAATATTGCGACAACTATGAGCATTCCAAACTATACTTTATTTCAGATAACATAAAAAAAGAAGCTGAAAGCTTTTATTAAAACTTTTAGCTTCTACGCAATTTTCTATTTTTTAAAGCTATTAACGTGTTACCATGTTACCTTGGTTTTTTATGTGTCTCCGATATTTCGGCACTGTTGCAAGCGCCATGATCACGGAGTAACTGAAGTAATTGCGGGTAGATGTTATTGGCAGACATATCGGTCTACCCTCTGACGTCGTCTTTTACTGCGCTCGATACCCCTACTATTGGTCACATTCTCACTAATACTAACAATAACGGTAACAATCCCGTTAATAGCTATAATGTTAGTGACCATGAAAGTTTAAAACAATATTTCCATTTTTTCCGAAATAACCTTGTTAGTGCACATCATTTGAAAATAATTAAAAAAGATGTATAGAATCGGTTCCTACAGTGTTTGCCAAGTTGTGGCGTGAATTATTTTATCAGAATTTAATAACCTCATTTTCGTCCACAGAATGCAACTGCAACGGCCATGCCCGCCGGTGCCGCTTCAACATGGAACTGTACAAGATGTCCGGCCGCGAGTCCGGCGGCGTCTGCATCAAGTGCCGCCACTACACTGCCGGGCGGCACTGCCACTACTGCCGCGAGGGATACTACCGGGACCCAACCAAACCTATCTCACACAAAAAGGCGTGCAAACGTAAGTATACGTTCATATTCTTAAATGGCATCAATTTAATAATTCTTTAACGGCATTAAGTAAGTATATGTTCATATACTTAAATGGCATCAATTTATTTCTTTAACGGCATTAAGTGAATTTAAGAATTTAATTCAGTGATAACATGCCGTCACTATACCGCTGGGTGGTGTTGCAACTACTGTCGTGAGGAAATCTACCAGGACCCCAAAGCGTACAAACTTAAGTATAGAAAAATGTTCTTTTTTATTTATTTCACATTGCTCATGTACATTATTTATTATAAGGTCTTACATACTTAATAGTGAGTGGTACATGACCCCGTTGGGGTGTTGCAACAAACTTGAGCTTAACATTATATACATTAATTTCACTTAATTGTTGTTCAAATCAGTTCCAACAAAATTTAAACAAAATGAATCCATTTTAAAAAATAATCAAGTCAATTTATATCATATCATGTCATCGTAATCATATCTTATCATCATAGTCAAATCAAAATCATATCTCAAGTTACAAGTTAAATTAAATCGAATCAAATTAACAGGCATCAAGGGAAGATATTTGATGGCATCAAGTGCCGCCGTGGCATCAAGTGCTGCCTGATCAATCAATTGTGATTGCAAAGAAAATGACAGACAATCACAATTGATTGCAAAGAAAATGACAGACGGACAGAATAACTTGAGTCAAATAGTGGCAATGCCGTTCACCGGTGTAGAGGCAGCACTTGATGCCACGGCGGCACTTGATGCCATCAAATATCTTCCCTTGATGCCTGTTAATTTGATTCGATTTAATTTAACTTGATACTTGAGATATGATTTTGATTTGACTATGATGATAAGATATGATTATGATGACATGATATGATATAAATTGACTTGATTAATTTTTAAAATGGATTCATTTTGTTTAAATTTTGTTGGAACTAATTTGAACAACAATTAAGTGAAATTAATGTATATAATATTAAGCTCAAGCTATTGAGCTTGACACAACACATGACTTAATAAAGCATTAAATTAAATTTACGTTCCTATATGGGCATAATCTATTATGTAGGTAGGTATGTCAGCATTTATGAGCATACATACCAATTTGCTTATTTGAATAAACATTCACTGAATTTTAAACTCATTTAAAATATCATAACAGGCAATTAGCGAAATAAAAAAAAAACGAAACTGAAAACAGAGTTTCCGTCTCAGATAATTCATAAGCTTGTTTGCACGATTCCGATTGTGAAAAGTTCCTAACAAGGCACTTTGCTTTATTTTCTGAAATAAAAGAGGGTTTGTTCGAGAGAGCAAATCAAATTATAGAAATACATTCGAATTCCTTTTACACAGAACCTTTATTCCGTAAAAAAGTTTATCAGGTTGTATTACTTATAATGTACAATACACTTTGTGTAGAATTTTTCAGTACATTTGAGCAGTTAGAAAAATTTTGTATAAAAGAAACCATCGTCAGAATTTTCATAATTCTGACGACGCGGCCTGCAGAATTTTCAAAATAAATAAATCAGTACATCTATACCGTTAAAACTTGTTTTATTTAATGAGTAGTGTGCGTGAAAACCTAAGAAATAAATATATTATCTAAAACTGTTTGATTTTGTAAGTACTTATTGCCTTTTAGACAACCTTTTAGACAAGAGGGATGAATGATTACAATATTGTGTTATTTTTCAAATGCTTATTTCAAAAGAACGACAACTCGATAATGTTTGTATTATACGACACATCGCAGTCAACTATTTTTACGAAACAATAAAATGGTCTAGTTTACTCTAAATGCGTCAGACATTTTTGTAGCTAAAAGACTTTGGGTTTGTGCCGCGTTGTGTTGTTATTATAAATAAAACATGTCGTTAAATGCTTTTAAGGTAACATATGAAAGTTTTATGGCACCTTAGATACTATATTAACTTGTATATTATTTCGAAATTGTTTCATCTCGGTCTGGTAAAAGGGATGCATTCAATGTAGATGATAATATGATGTTTTAAGTAGAATATACACATAAGGCTAGTTAAATTAGGCCATCATCATCATCATTAGCATATTAATGTCCCCACTGCTGGGGAACAGGCCTTCCCTATCGATGGAATAGGGAGATTGAGCCATGACCCACCACACGGGCCCAGTGCGCATTGGTGAGTGCTAACTACTGCAGATGCAGCCGGGACCAACAGCTTAACGTTCCTTCCGAAGCACGGAGGAACTCGAGATAAAAGATTTTTGGTCACCCATCCAACGACTGACCACTGCGAAAGTTGCTTAACTTCTACGATCGCAGGCGAACGCGCTTACCACCTGCGCCATCGAACTCCTTGCTGTGGCTGTGTAATAAGATGTGTTATTTAGACTAACTCCAAAATACTAGCAAAAAGTCTAAAGCCGAATGAATGTATTTTTTTTATGATTTTATTTATTTTTTAAGCATTTAACTGCTAGATGTTTAAATCTAAAGAAAAGTTTACTAGAAAAAAATCCACGCAGACCAGGCAGCGGACGGGACTCGAACCCGCATCCTTCGCTATCCGGGCGAATGCACTGACCATTATGCTACCACGGCCCTATTAGCCGCGTCGAAATTTTCCTAGCCTTAAGCTGCAAGGCAGTGCCATCTCTTCGCATTGTAGGTAACCCACAATGTCAAATGAATACTTTTTCAAGTATTAAACATTTGAAAGAAGAAATAGCAATTATAGTTATGATTTTATTTATTTTTTAAGCATTTAACTGCTAGATGTTTAAATCAAAAGAAAATTGTATTTTTTTTATTTAATTTCGTTTTCGGAAACACACTTTTCAGCCTTGATTTGGCCTTGTCCCGTATAACAATCTGACAGCTGTAGGTATTCTTACTTCTAAGTTACCTCAGCTTCTATTAGAATACTAAATCATACTTTATTATAATTTTTATTATTTTAAAGCATGTAATTGCTTGATGTTTAAATCTAAAGAAAGGGCCGCGGTAGCATAATTGCGAAGGATGCGGGTTCGAGTCCCGTCTGCTGCCTGGTCCGCGTAGAATTTTTTCTAGTTATATTTTCTTTAGATATAATACTTTGTTTTGCTACTAGATTCTTCTATCAAAGTACTTACATAAGCATCCAAAGAGACGAAATCCGTTGTGACTTGTGACAATAACGAAATTCTGAAAACTTACCCAAAACATTGGAGTCGTAAAAATGAAGACGTGCGTACCTCGATAGTGTAGTGTGAACCCATAAACTGGCCCGGCTGATAGGCCCCGCGGGTCCTGGGGCTATTTGCACCCGGACAGACGGGCTATTTACACCCGGTCCGTCGTTTGAACCCGCCTCGCTCGTGATTGGGTCACGATGTTTTGGCAGCACGTTGCGAAAATAAAGAGGGTGTTGGTTTGATAGATGATGCTTGGTGGATAGCGGATACTGGAGATCGGTTTCGTGAGATGTTTGCGAATTATTTGCTTGACGAAAACTTGTGGATTTTATTTTAACTTTCTTGAAGTGAAAACTTCTTAAGCGGCGTTGTAAACTTTTTATTGTATGGGTAGAAAATGTTAAACTCGCGTCAGGTTAAACACGTGGGCTGATCGCATCATGACACACAATAAAATTGGAAAGGTTGTTGGCTTTCAATATATTGGACGAGACACAGTAATATTTTATTTTACCGTATTATAATAATAAGTCATCTATCTAGGACGTCCACGTGATAGATGTCGCTAGGTGCGCTTAAACGTGATTCATGTAAGTTGATTTTTCTGCGAGATATTTTTTTAATGTAATATAAATTGTCATGTTTACGTACGATAGCGCAATAAATAAATATTGTATTCTACCACATACATGATAGTACTTTTATACTGATAAAAAGCAATTCGGGCAAAATTATTCCCTAACCATTCCATAATATCAAAAATGCACAACGTTAATATTCAAGTTTTCACTTCTGCCGGCACTCCCGGAGTGCAACCTGTCGTTTTTTTTCCTTCAAAACTCGGGAAATACCTACTATTTCACGAGTTATGAAATCGCCATCGCCGTGGTTAAATCAATGTATGTATACAAACTGCTTAATAGGTACTTTAAAATTAGAACCTTAAAAGTTACCTACAATGCGAAGAGATGGCGCTGCCTTGCAGCTTAAGGCTAGGAAAATTTCGACGCGGCGAATAGGGCCGTGGTAGCATAATGGTCAGTGAATTCGCCCGGATTGCGAAGGGTGCGGGTTCGAGTCCCGTCCGCTGCCTGGTCCGCGTGGATTTTTTTCTAGTAAACTTTTCTTTAGATTTAAACATCTAGCAGTTAAATGCTTAAAAATAAATAAAATATAACCTTAAAAGTTTTTATTTTAATTAACGAAAACTTGTGGATTTTGTATTAAGTTTTTTTCCTTCAAAACTCGTGAAATAGTAGGTATTTCACGAGTTAAATTGGAATAAACTGTGTTTAGTGAATGTCTTTCAAAAATATGATGAAAATTTTACTACATAGCAAATATTCCACGCGACCTAGGTTTCACACAGGGATATTTCTAGTAAAAATTTCTCTAGATTTAAACATCTAACAGTTAAACGCGTAAACAAAAATTAAATTAGTTTTCAAAAAAATATAGATTATAGCTTTGATACTGCAAATCATTTATTTTTCCACTCCAAGTCTTTATTGTAGCTTGCATGTATCTTATTAATGCATTTTCACTAAACACTAAAGTATAGTATTTTTACCCATAACAAGAATTTTCATTTTGAAAAATTTTATACGTCTCTACAATAATATTCAGAGCCTATTTCAGTATCTCCACCAGACAGACTGACTTATGTATTATTGTTTTGTTATATCATCATCATCATCATCAGCCTATTAATGTCCCCACTGCTGGGGCACAGGCCTTCCCTATGGATGGAATAGGGAGATTTGGCCATGACCCACCACGCGGACCCAGTGCGGATTAGCGTGCTAACGACTGCAGATGCAGCCGGGACCAACGGCTTAACGTGCCTTCCGAAGCACGGAGGAACTCGAGATAGTAAATTTTTGGTCACCCATCCAATGACCGACCACTGCGAAAGTTGCTTAACTTCAACAATCGCAGCCGAACGCGCTAGCCACCTGCGCCATCAAGCTCCTTTGTTTGTTATATATATAAATGTAATCAGAAAATCAAATTGTACCTTTTGTGACACGAAATTCCCTGCGCTATTTGCGGGCGAAAAAGTCAAATACCCCGGTCCGGTCCCTCGCAGACCTTTCTAAGCGATTGCGAGATACGAAATACGGTATACGTAAAAACAGTAGATGTATGGAAACAGCTACAAGAAAAACAGTAGATGCAGGGGTGTACTTTTTCCGGTTTGCACCCCCCCCCCCCTAGAAATGGTAAATCAAATCAAGATAAAGATCAGTAACGAATGTGTTTCTGTGGCTTCTGCCGCCCCTCAAAGCTATTTTTTCTTTAGACAATTACATTTATTTTATAATTATTAAGGTTATCTACATTATTAATGACGAAAAATGCAACTCAACATGCAATTTAAAAAAGAAAATCGTTTTCTAAAAAAACAGGAGATTCATGTAGAAAAACAGTAGAACAGGAGAAATTTCAGAAAAACAGGAGATCTCCTGTAAAATCTGGAGACCTGGCAACACTGGTCGCACCAGCCATAGTTTATAGTGGCCAATGAATGACAAATGGTGTAGTTACCTCTTTTTGTGCGGCCGACACGAGGAAGGTGGAAACAAAATATGTATTGGATCGTGAACTAGTGTTTGTTTACGTTAGTACCGCTGATTTTTTTTTTAACACTCACACCAATTGGCCTAGCCCCAAACTAAGCACTATAAGGCTTGTGTTATGGGATACTAGGGTAACGGATAGAATACATATACTGTACATATATAAGTATATTTATACAGAAATACATGTTAAACATCCATGACTGGAGTACAAATGCTCGTATTCATCACAAAAACATCTGCCCCCACCGGGATTCGAACCCGGGACCTCTCGAGTCGGCGACACCATGAAACCCGGCGTTCTAACCACTCGGCCACGGAGGTCGATTCAGCATTGAATTCGAAATGAGAGGTTTCGAGTTTAATATGCTTTGTGTTTTTCATCTTTAAATTTGAGCATGTAAGAGTTAAAAAAAAATTGAGTGCATTATTGCACCAATGATCCGTCGCAATATTATACAAATGGGATAATTTAGGTTAGACTAGAATGGAGTTGGTATGTTCTTGTAAGAATAAAAGCTCCCAAATAAATAAATATAAAAAAAATAGAAGAATAAATTTCTTTCGTTTTTAAGCCTACAGCTTCCCAACAAGGTGTGATGTAGTATTCGAGAATGAAAAAAAAAAGAAAAAACCAAAAACCTTATTTTTCTGTCTTAAATTTTTTTTACAGTATATCTTTGTTCGCAAAGACGAACAGATGTTTCGGTCCGCGCTACCCCACCGTCCCGTAGACAATATAAACTTGAATGGGTGACCTTTGCCCGGACACCGCATTCACATAATTGAGTTCCCGAGTAGGTCCGTCAAGTGGGCCTTTATATTAGGATTTGATTCCACGGGTCCAATTCAGACGCTTACAAACTCAAACTCATTTATTCAGTCTAGGCTGTTACAAGCTCTTGTGAAAGTCAAACGCTACGCCATCGGTTCGTAAATCTACGGTGGGAGACCTTATACCGAGAAGAACCGGCAAGAAACTCAGCAAGGGCTATTTTTTTCTCCCTGTTTTGTTTCATACAGTGTCGTCAATTGAAAGATGACATCAAAAACTAAAAACATCATATTTCATCACATTAATATTATTAATTAACAATAAGTTAAGTATAACTAACAATTTTCAACCAAATTAGCAAAGTAAAACGACTTAGTCTATTTTATTAAGCCCAAGGTGCCTTATCATTTACAATAATGTTATTCCTGGAAACTATTTACTAAAGTGGAACTTTTATATCAAAGTTACATTTTTAATTGTTTTTGAAATAATCAGACCTTATCAATAAGCATGGGTAAGATCAGTGGCAGAAAGCTCGCTTACCATGCGGGCTTTGATTCGATTCCCCGCCGAGGAAGGACTTTTTTATTTTCCACTTTTCATATACCAGGATCATCATCAGCCTATTAATGTCCCCACTGCTGGGGCACAGGCCTTCCCTCTGGATGGAATAGGGAGAAGTAAAAACTTGAATGTTAACGTTGTGCATTTTTGATATTTTGGAATAGTTAGGGAATAATTTTGCACGAATTGCTTTAATTATCAGTATAAAAGTACTATCATTTATGTGGTAGAATACAATATTTATTTATTGTGCTATCGTACACAAACATGACAATTTATATTACATTAAAAAGTTTATCTCTCAGAAAAATCAACTTACATGAATCACATTTAAGCACAGCTAGCGACATCTATTGTAAAAAAAATGCATTTTCTTCGCAATAAAGCTGCCACCTGCTATTATAATACGATAAAATAAAATATCACAATGTTTCGTCCAATATATTGAAAGTCAACAACCTTTCCAATTTTATTGTTTTCGTCTTACGAATTTTCGATTAGGTCACGTGTCCTGACGCGAGTTTATCATTTTTTACCCATTACAAAAAAGTGTACAACGCCGCTAAAGAAATTTTCACTTCAAAAATGCGTTATATCCACGACAATGACCAACGCCGCGTTGGCTTGCTGTCAACAAACCCTCGCGACGCAGGTAATTTCGTAGTGCATTCGGCAAGCGGCGAGCAGCCCGAGGGCCGCTTGTCGGTGCGGATATACTTTGACGTGCACTCACGCAAGCGTGGGTTACTCCAAACCACCCCGCCTCCGACCAGCAACCCGGTCCGCACCCGATTTAGCCCATTGCCTATTTTGACCCAATGGAACCTGAACTGACAGAAACACAACATCACCGAGAGGTATTGTCATTTTACCATGATCTTCTGCTGGAGGTTGCTTCCCCAGACGGGCACTCCAATCCGATCTCAAAATCCGCAATGCCCTACCTCTGTTAAAATTGACGCCATTCTACCTGATGTTTAGTGACGATGGAATTCAGACGCGAAGATAGCTGTCATGTTAAAGCCACTTGTATGCCTACCTATTCTGTTTCAAGAGATAAAACCTTCCGATGTATATAATAGAAGTAACGTCTGTCACTCTTTGAGAACAGAACCATGTGACAGTTACCCAAAAATTAATTTGTTAAAATCATATACTTATTTTGTCTTTGTTGAGGAGCTCGATGGCGCAAGTGGTTAGCGCGTTCGGCTGCGATCGTTGAATTTAAGCAACTTTCGCAGTGGTCGGTCATTGGATGGGTGACCAAAAATTACTATCTCGAGCTCCTTCGTGCTTCGGAAGGCACGTTAAGCCGTTGGTCCCGGCTGCATCTGCAGTCGTTAGCACCCGCCAATCCGCACTGGACCCGCGTGGTGGGTCATGGCCATCCATAGGGAAGGCCTGTGCCCCAGCAGTGGGGACATTAATAGGCTGATGATGATGATATACTTATTTTGTCTGATGAAATCCGTTTTGCTTTAAACAGCTTGCGACTGCCACCCGGTGGGCGCTAGTGGCAAGATCTGCAACCAGACGAGCGGGCAGTGCCCGTGCAAGGACGGCGTCACCGGCACCACCTGCAATCGCTGCGCTAAAGGCTACCAGCAGTCCAGGAGTCACATCGCACCATGTATACGTGAGTTATCCACAAACATTAACTGTCTTCGCCATAATGAGCGGACCACAAGCATGTGCAGAGCGTCGGCTCGCGTAGACCCAATTAAACTCATTTATTCAGTCTAGGCTGTTACAAGTGAAAGTCAAACGCTACGCCATCGGTTCGTAAATTTACGGCGGGAGACCTTGTACCGAGAAGAACCGGCAAGAAACTCAGCAAGGGCTATTTTTTTCTCCCTGTTTTGTTTCATACAGTGTCGTCAATTGAAAGATGACATCAAAAACTAAAAACATGTGTTGATGTCATATTTCATCACATTAATATTATTGATTAACAATAAGTTAAGTATAACTAACTCGGCGGTGACCACACAGTAGTCTGGTCTGCGCGGGCTCATGCCATGCCGGAGACCAAGGGCGGATCCAGGGGGGGTGTCATGGGGGTCATGACCCTCCCTCTGGACTGGGTCCATCTGTACCCACTTCACCATCTGTACCCACTGTGACTTTACCACGACTATATGACCCCCCCTGGCGCCAAAGCTGGATCCGCCCTTGCCGGAGCCATGGAGCATCCGCGTCCCGCATACCCCACCGTCGCAGAGGACTTGCAATACGCAAGTCTACCTAAGCCTATCCTAACGTTACTCATTTACAGTCGGTGGACTGCAAGGTTGGATGCTGTTGAAAATTGACCTAACACAGTTGGGATATTGTCTGATGATGCTTCGAGTGAAACACGCCTAATAACGTATTCTCCCTTTGCGTGATCTGTCTATAGAGAAGGCTTATGCTAGAAAACTTAGAGTATTAATTAGTACTTCGTTCCCGCCGTTTCAACCCGCACTCCCGACACGCAATAGGGGGATATCGGTCATCATAGTACGTGTCTTGTGACCGGTGCAGGAATATTATCTGATTTAGGGTCCTGCTTATTTCATCGAACCTTCGAAGCTGGATGAAATGGATAGAGAGGAGTCTTCAGACACCCTGTTCGCGCTATTACCGATAGTTCAGGGAGGCGTAAACCCTTGTTTCGAGTATTAAAAAAATTGTGTGTGTCAGCTCCGACGCACGATCGGTGTTTACACTCTAAAAACGATTGTCTTTGAACAGACACAAAACAAAATCAAGTCCGAAGAAGTCGGTTACAAGTAGAGATACCTCAGGAATCGTCCCATGGTTTCGACTATCATAGATTCCATGTCACACATTTTATCATCTAACATCAGCGATATTCATCATATATTTTATTATGTATTTCTGGAAACACACAATTTTAAGAAATATCACATACTAGTCATTATTTTGTAAATATGTATTATAATTCCATCTGTACTGAAAATTACTATTGCAGAGTGCTGAACACTTACCGGCATTTCTCTATATTCTGTTATTTATTTGTTTTCATTAATTTTGCTCCAATTTTATCTATTTTTAGTTTATTTATTTTATTGACATTTGTGACAACTTAATGTTTTTTATCCGTTGCCATGGCTAAAAGTGAAAGGTGCGCAGATGAGGTTGCGCACAAAAACGTAACGAGGTTATTAATGTCATTCATCGATAGATTTTACTCCTCACATTTTTCTTATACCGGGGCCCTTATATATGCAAATCGATTCTTAAGGAGTTACTCCAAAAAGGAGTATTAATGTTTGATGTTGGTGTCGTCTGTGTTCAGGTATCCCGCGCGTGGTGACCGCGGTGCAGGCGATGGAGGCGGTGGACGGGGAGCCGGGCCGCGGTAAGTAGTAAGTGGCCTCCATTGCACTCTCGCCTCATTCTCACCGCATGCCAACCGCGACCACCGCGTTCCTGTGGCACGCAAAGGTTGAACAAATTGCTCTGTTGAAGAATGTCACTTACAATATAAAGAAGGGGAAAGATATTGTTAACTACATCCTATTTTTGGTCAAAGTCATATAGCGAAGATTTACCGTCTTACTGCAATTTTGTTTTTAAAGTTATATTCGATTCAATTAATGCTGTCTCTGCTGTGCTATTCCTGAAATCACACCGGCAAATTCCCCCGGTGTGATTTTAGAAATTCGGCAAATTCGGAATTTGCCGGTGTGGTTTTAGAATTCTAGATTTTATATGTAAAATTTTTTGTAAAGTAGGTAAATACTGTCGATATATATTTTTTTCAATATCTACCTATTCGTAAATTTATGGGGGAACGTTAAACGAAAAGTAAAAATAAATAAGGATAAGCGAATATATAAACTTTTGAAAAACAAAATTCAAGAATGTCTATGATTTTTCATTTCACATTATTTCTTGATAGAAAATTGAACAATCATCTGTTCCTTCTTAAATTTGCTAATATCTTTAATTGTTATAATGAATTGATTTACAGTGATCAATGTCTTGTTATTGTATAATAAATATAAAAAAGTTTAATAATAGACAGCAACATTTTTAACGTTCTCAGTAGGAAATCTACTCGTTGATGGCGTGGGTAGATTTTCATAAAATGACAGCTTCAACCGCACAAATTGAATTATTTCTGCTCTGCTGACATCACGTGGTGGTCGCGGTAGACGATTGGAGTGTCATGTACCTACTAGTTCATAAACCTGATAAGGTTAAAAAGATCACATCTACTGCTAAGGCACCTATTCAAATTCCTTCCGGCCAAATATGCAAATGTTTTTGAGCGTTAAAATCTTCTCTATTTAATAATATTTCATAAGCAACTGACAGATTCCACGAAAAATGCGAAAAATTCTGTCAGATTTCTTTCACCGGAGAAGACTTTTACGAATATCAAAATTAAGAAATGTTTGAGTTTAGTTCAAATTTGATATTACATATTTAAACAGCCATAACACTCTGATCTATTATTGTTAATTTGCACTTCTTTATAAACTTTTTTCTGTAGCCTGACTCCTATAGATATAATCACTACAGAAAAAAACATATAAAAAAAGCCTAGTTCTGACTTTTATGAACAAAACAAAAGACATAAGACAAATTAGAAGAATCTTCTAAAATTTCAAATGTTTTACGTCGATGAAGTCTTTTATGTTAAAATATATAGTCTATGATACTCACTTTCCATTAGTAATTGTAGTTTTTGCCACTGTTATTTAAGAAGGGTTATTAAAAAACGAGTGTTTTAAGTTTTAATACCTAAATTATATGCAGTTGCCTGCACTACTTCATCTTCACGCATAGGATAAATTTAAATTAAATTAAATTTGCTAGAATTAAACAAAGAAGTATTTTGAAATCACGAAAACAAAACACGTTAGGCAGTAAATTACTGTGTGCCTAGTGATATTGTTGTATTCAATGAACTTCATGACATAAAGGTCATTGGTATTGAATAATAATTTTATTTTGTGAGTTCTATAAGAGTCAGGCTCTCTCTTTTTCATATTTCAACAGAACATGAGTCGCATTAATTTTTCGTAATTAAAGTTATTTTATAATAAGAACTTTGTAATTTACTAATTATTTTCGCTTGTTCATCATCCTCCATTGTCCATTTCATACTCATGAATTTCTTTTTTTTATTTGTCAGTGCTGAAAAAGGTAATATTTTCAACTTTCCTTAATTTCGCTAAACTCTGATATTGATCTTATTAATGCTTTCTGTAACAAAACTGCAAAGTATGCTGCGATTATTACCAACTCTGAAATTTCATTTCAATGAACAATTTCTAATGGTAAAATTATAAAAAAAATACTAATAAAGACATAGAACGAGGAAAAGTGGAAATGGTGCTATTTTTATTCCTATCTGCCATACAGGAATTTCTTAAGCCACGCAGAACATAGACGAAAGAAATTTCGCAACATTCGAATAAAAAAGGAACTAATTTTACAAACACCATTAAAATATTGTAAAAACTTAAATCAGTAAATAAATGGCTTACAAATAGCAATATAACTACGGCCATGCTTTTCAAATGAAGACCATATTTTAGGCGTTTAGTTGAAATGTTTAATTTGTTTGTGCTCAGCGGCGGATCAGTGCGGACGGTGCCGCGCAGGCGCACGCACTCTAAATCTCAACAAGTTCTGCAGCCGAGATTACGGTAAGTTCTTCCATGTGATTAAAGAAAAGAGATGATATTTTCTGATTGATCCATAGCGTACAAAGTGTTAGTTGTGTATTGAGTCGTCTAAGGCGTCTATATAGTCGTCTAGGGCCCGTATTGAGTCGTCTAGGGCCCGTATTGAGTCGTCTAGGACGCGTATTAAGTCGTCTAAAGCGCGCAGATGATGCACGTTTTTATTTTAGGAGTCTTATTTTTGGTAAAAATGTTAGGGTGTTTGATCAGCATGTTTGTTTCCCGGTGCAGTCATAATGGGCAGGCTGGTAGGGCGCGAGGCGGGCGCCGCGGACGAGTGGGTGCGTCTGTCGCTGAGCGTGCAGGCGGTGTACAAGCGGGGCCCGCGCTCGCGCCTGCGCCGCGGCACCACCGCGCTCTACGTGCGCCCGCGCGACCTCGCCTGCAAGTGCCCTAAGCTCAAGATCAACAAGTAAGTACATATGTATATCCTATCTTTATATATATAATTTTTCTGTGAGTGTGTATGTCACTGAACTTCTCTTAAACGACTGGACCGATTTTGATGAAATTTTTTGTGTGTGTTCAAGGGGATCTGAGAATGGTTTAGATTCACAATTTTGTCCGCTGGACAACCCCTATTTTTTTAGGGCGGTACGAAGTTCGCTGGGTCAGCTAGTCCTATATAATATTAGTAATATTATAAATAAGTTTTTTTGCATATTTATCACTCAATGACGCAAAAGCGTCTGAACGTACTTGGGTGAAAATTATAAATATATTTTTTTTATTAAGCCATCAATTACAAATACACAGAATATAAGTAGGTTTAAAAAATTAATTAAATATTTAATTAATGTTAATTTTGGCCTGCTTGTTTGTTGCCTGGATTGAGTGAGACATAAAAGTGTCCGCCGCCGCTCGTCCCCTTGGTCGTGGTCCCTCCTCTAGCACCTCTCCTCCCGTGCGTAATACTGGTCGGCGACAGAACTATTACATTTGTCCCGTGTAAGAAAACTATTGTCTGAGGGTCGCGGGAAGCCGCTGGATGCGTAAAGCGCAGGATCAATCGGTGAGAGAATGCTGCTAATATAATGATGGGGACGATTATTCTTGATATATTAACAAGTTTCTATAAAAAAACACAACAGAGAAGAAAAATCTTTTTGATGGTGTTGTCTTTCTGTTATTGAGTAATATAAAAAACCCTGAACTCCACAGAGCTGCAGCACATATTCTGCCGCGTCACTTAATTTCACTCTCAAGGCAAAAAATATCGTTAGACCTAAAAATCTAACACCTAAATGTTTTAATATACATTTTTTCTCTTCAGATCGTACCTAATCCTAGGAGTGGAAAAGGAAGGCTACTCGTCAGGCCTGCCTGGTCTGACAGTGGGGGACAGGACCTTACTTCTGGAGTGGCGCGACGACTGGCATCGACGCATACGCCGGCTACAGCGCCGCGCCATCAACTGCCACTAGCCGCCATCTTGGAAAACAACGTCCGATCGCACGGTGCGCGCGGGAAATTTTCGCGCCAAATAACTTGAACGACGCCATAGACAATCGGGCTTGCGCGCGAAGTAAAATTACATATGCACGAGTCACATACTACGAAAATTGTAGTGCTCGAGTTATTTGCCCGCAGGTATTTAAACAGTCGACACGATTCAAAAAACGAAATTACGCGCAGCCGTGAGAGCAGCCGATGGGTCCCATACGTGTTCTTTGTTATTCGACCGGTATATAAAAATCCGTCTTCATTCCGTGCAAAAATAATAATAATTATGTGAATCAAGAGTTGTCCGTTTTAACTGTTACTGCCAATATACGTGCTGTCTATATTAAAATAATAAATCTCATTATTAAAGTTTTACTTACATACTTATAAATAATGTAACGTCACAAATTAATAATTTTATTAACTTAACACGTCTCGTTTTATGCCAAAAATGCAATGGTTGTTCGTAATAATTTATTATGAATTTCCCTTCCTAGGATTTTATTACAAATATTGTGTATACATGATTAATTATTATTTATTTGAATAGATTAATTACTCATAGATGACGAAGTGTTTCGTTCCATTAATTGCATTTTATGTGTAAGTGTTATTTTTAGATTGGGAATGCGCATGTTTATATTTGTTTTGTAAGTACCATTAATTTTCTCCGGTGACGCCACACGTGTTACAAGTGACATCACCGAGTGTTTTGACAGATGTTGGGTGTTGTGTCGATGATTGTACAATTTAGATAAACTAGGTCATAACGTAGATGGTTCATCTCCACAGAGCATAGTCACAATGGTTTTAACATACCTCATTTATTAATAAAACTTTACTGTTAAGGGTTGCAGTATAATTTATAATTTTAATAAAAATAGTTTCTAGTGTTAGATTTTCTACGTTTTACGCTAACCGGAAGGAGGATTTGAATATAACATTATTAAACTTAACTGAATCTCTCTATTTTCGAATAATTTTGTAAGTTGATCTTGCCAAAGTACCATTGTCGCTAACTGTAGAGAATAGGTACTTAATTCTTTTCCTATCTGCGAAAGAGGAAGTGCATTTTTCTAGCAGAATGCGTAGCCGAACTGGAAGTGTGTACAGTATTATTAGCTTTACTAAATTGTAACGTTATTTGTAAGTGTTTCGTTTTAAAAAAGTGTTCGACCTATGCAACTCGGACGGGTAATCATTGGCAATTGCACTATCAATATCAATCATGTTGTCTCGCTCGGGTACAGTTAGGTGCACAATGCTTAATCAAATTGGTGCACGCTCGTATGATTTACTGCCCATTCACCCGCAATCATCGGTAATACCAGATACGTCAACTGGACACGAGATGACATGGTAAATTGTCGAAATGTTTATTTATTGCTGTTTTAACTATAGATGAGAAATGTGGTAATAAACTCTAGCATATTCAGTGCGGAACTCGTATTTACCAATCAACAACTTATCACTTATTATAAGTAATTCTACATTTTCAATTAAATTTATTGATAAATATGTATTTCGTGCTCTCTACCACTCATTATTTTTATTATAGACAATCTGCTTTACTTACTAGTTTATCCGAGTGATCGCCGCTTTTTTAAAATGAAACAAAAAATCGTATAGAGATAAAAATAAAAACCTATTTAAATAACTTAGGAATTTCGCTTGATCGTAATACGGATTGTAAAAAGTGTATTTAGTTGTAGAATCTATCTATTAACCTGTTTCTAGTTATGCATATCTTTAGGTTTCGTAATAATTATTAGTAGTTTCTATATCGAATCGTTTTTTGTGCATTTCAAACTTTAATTGATTGCAAAATATATTTTAATTTTTTAAAAGAAAAATTAAATTTATATTTTCGTTTATAAACTATCGTAGTTCTTTTGCATTAGAAATAATAAGCTCTGCTTAGTTTATGACTGAATAGTTGTTGTGACTTTGTTGGAGTTTATTAATGTTATAATTTCGAAGTCGAGAAAATAAATAATCACAAAATTACTTACTGTCAGCTTAATTTTCGTCAACGAGAAATGGGTACAATCAATGCACTGAACATATTTTTAAAAGAACACCCAAACGTTGTGTTTCAATTTATTTATATACCTTATTTCGTAAAAAAAATGACACTTAAATTAATATCGCAAAGTAAAAAAATCTATACTGCGTACTTTATCCAAATTATTTGATCTTTTAATTCTTAAGATCAAGATTCTTTACAGCTTTTTTCTCAAACATTTTCCATAAAGTCCTCAATCTTAGTTAGTGTAAAAAATCTTTTTGAATGCACAGAAAATGATTCAAACAAAATATATCATCAGATCGTAATAATCATAGTCAGTTTATATTTTATTAAACATGTGAATATTTTTTATTATGATCGAACCATACTTAAAGCGTCATGTCGCATTAAGTTATTATAAATTTGCATTTTTTTTATCTAATCAGTTTTTAAAGATATTCAACTAAATTAACTGAAGGCTCTAACTTAATTAAGCATCCTTTTTAATGTAAAATTAATTTTATTTAGTTAAATAAAACGCACAAAGAGGCCTAATTGCTTCCAGCCATTTGTTTCATTTTGAGTAAAAAATATAACTTTCCTTTTCCTCGTGACAGTACTGTTTCACAAAAATAAGTATCAATTAATTCGAGCGATAAATATATTTTGTAGTGTATAATTATTTATATTTGTAAGGGATTTGTCAATTGAGGCATATTTTTTCTGCCGAATCATAGACAACGGTGTTCCCTCGCCGGTTTGTCTTGTCTATGGTTCCCGGAAAAACGCGTTGGTGGCGTATTTGCTATGAACTTGATTGTGTTTTTATGATACCCTGCTCCTGTGATGTAATAAATGTTATTGGTTATATTTATTTAAAAATAAAAGTACATTAATATACGGACGTTTTGTTTTCATTTTGTAATGAACTGGCGTTTTAGGTCATTGTCGGTTATAATACGTATTTGGTCAAAGTTTAAACTGAGTTTTTATTGATTATAATATGTATTTGATCAAAGTTTCAAGTTAATTTTTATTAGATCATTTATTCAATTCTAATCTTTATTCTGATTACATTCAGCAGAATAAATACATTATGACTGTGAAAACACAGGTCAGTAAAAGTATTCACAAGCAGCCAACGAAGACTTCTTTTTTTTTATAGATAGGTCCGACAAATGACTCCACCCCACCTGATGTTAAGTGAAGGTGAAGTCCAGACGCGAAGATAGCTGAAACAGCAGTTCTACCTGCCACACCAGCCATCCTCACCCTGCCGGCCTGCATGTTGCTTCTTCACGCCTCTTTTAAAGGATCCCAGGTTGTAAGAGGGAGGGAACACGTGAGCGGGCAGAGCATTCCATTTACGGATAGTGCGACAAAGAAATGAGTCACCAAATTTCTTTGTACGCGTTAGAATTGTAGCCACAGTAAGACGATGACAACGTAGACTATAGAGTACAGGACTATAATTGCTATTTCTTCCTTCAAATGTTTATTACATGTAAAGGTATTCATTTGATATAGTGGATTACCTACAATACGAAAAGATGGCGCTTACCTCGCAGCTTAAGAAAGGCTGGAATTAATTCGACACGGCCATCGGGGCCGCGGTAGCATAATGGTCAGTGCATTCACCCGGATAGCGAAGGCTGCGGGTTGAGTCCAGGATTGCCAGGTCTTTTCCAAATATATACCGAACAGTGAGCAAAAAAAAACAGAGAGCGCAGCTGAGCGGCGGTTCGTTCCTCGAATGATGCGCGAGGCTATTGAGATTAAAAAATATCAAAATTTCAATAGGGAAGATGGTTGGTATATACCATCAGCTTGGGAACCTATTATACAAGAGATAAAATCCCAACCCCGAGCACACACTGCAAGACCATCAGATACTATTGGTTCTTTTTGTTTGCATAATGTAACATAAGAAGGAAATAGAAAGCCTCTCTTGAGTTTGTTTCGCCGGTTCTTCTCAGAAAGGTCTCCCAATTTTGGAACCGGTGGTAGTTTACGGTAGTTAGGGTCAAATAAATAAACTCAAAATTACAAACAAGAATTTTAAATAAAATACTTTATTAAGTAAATTAAATAATAAATTCATACATAGACAATAAAACTTAAAAATCGAACAATGAAATAACCAAACGCTCAATAAAAGTCTTTCGAAGGTAGCTCGACAAATTAAAGTTTTATTCTGACGACGTAGCCTGTAAAGGCTACGAAACGTCAATAAATAAATAAAGTTTCGTGCATTAACCCGTAAAAACTAGTTTAATCATTATTTATTAAATATGTACAAAGTACCATTGCATAAGATTAACTAGCTAACCTAAATTATAAAAATTGTCTTTTTTCTCACTAATGTACGCTTTTAGCAATGCCTTATTTTCTTTAACTGTCCCATGCATTTCACGACATATCAGATTGTAATTGCATCATTTACATAATTTAGCCTTCACCATGTCCACACGTCCTTTATTACGGCTGTCAGTAAACAAATGATTCATATGGCTAAATACTCTTTCCACATAAGCATTACTACATGCGATAATTCGATAATGGTTCGTGCTAGGGGTACTGGAGTAACATTACTAATATCTCTTATCTATTAGACAAGTCCGTCTGTCTGTGGTGCTGTTTCAGCGGCCAAACCGTAAGAGATAGATAAAGAGAATATTTAAGTTATAAGTTAAGAATAGTCTGATAAGACTACAAACCGGATTTGAGTAACGTAGCACTTCCGGTTTTCGAGAAATCACGAATTTCAAACGAAACCACACAAAATCTCCGAAGTTCTCAATTAATTAAATACATTTTTTTTTTCTTTTATTTTTAAATCAGGTTTTGGTGAACATTTGGTTCACTGGTTTGCTAGTGTTATTATAAGGGAGTAAAATTAATCAGTAAAAAATATACCGAACCGCCCATACTTCGGTATTTTTGTCATACCGAACACCGAATACGGTTCTAATATACCGAACGGTTCAGTAACACTGGTTGAATCCCATCTGCTACCTGGCCCTGGATTGTTCAAATTGGCCTAAATGGACAAAAAATGTTGACATACACTGTAATTCTTGGCGTAATTTATAATTTAATTTACAGTCATTAGATTTCAACGGACACCTTTGTATAATATATTTACTTTAAAAAGGACTTTTAATTTTACCAGTTTGGAAAACATACGAATCATTTTTAATGGCTATGGGTGTAGTAACATTCAGCCAAAGACTGATCGAAGTTGTTTATATAACCTAAAAACAAATCTATTTTGTAAAGATCGATAAAATAAATATTTTTTTTTTACACTGTGGTATTAATATCCACAACTAAATTATCATTTTCACTAGATATAAATGTGCTCAGACAATTATTATAGATGGTAGGCGACATCATAAAGTCTATTGCCATGCATTTTTCGCCAAACACCTCCATAAACACATTATAGTCTGTATATATGTTAGACTTTAAGGTATCTATCTATGGGCCTACGTTCCCTGACTATAAATTAATAAAAAAATAAAATTGTAAGGTGTAATATACTAAAAATCTAAAATATGGTTATCTTAAAAACATAACAAAAATAATGAAGCTACTGAATATATGGCTATAGAACCTAAATCTCTTAGCTTTCTTTGGTTAACGAGAGTTTAAAAATTCTCTAATCTGTGGCTCATTCACAATCATCACACAGTTTCTGTTACAGAGTACACTGACACCTGATTTTAAAAGTTACTCTTATGCATTAACTTTAAAAACAGGCAACTATCTGTTAATCTATATGCTCTATATACCTGAATCTAATCCATAATTTCTTGGCTTGATTTCCCTAGTTTACTATATAACTTATTTGTTTTGTATTATTTTAATATGTTCAGTGTATATGGTTTATAGAAGTTCTCAGGGGTGTCCGTCAATAATATTCGTTTCTACAGTAATTTATATATAATTTCGAATCTAAGAAACAAATTTTCATGATTATTGGTCTTTAGGCCAAACATATATGGAAGCTGAGCAATTTCCTTTTTCTAGTAATATTTTCTTCAGAACTTATTTTTTTTTTTTTAAATTTCCTTATGAACTACCGCTCTAATACCTACAACCAGACTGATTCTCATAACTAGACAGTTTTATAAAAATGATGTCCGTCTACATAATAAAGTATGCGTCCCCGGTTGGTAATAAAACAGTGGTAATGGCGCGTCCACACTCAAACGCGAACTACCCACGTTGATTTCCCACCGGGCGGGGGGTGCCTAATGTTTGGAATACAATAACGTAAGGTCTGTGGAACTCGATGGCGCAAGTGGTTAGCGCGTTCGGCTGCGATCGTTGAAGTTAAGCACCTTTCGCAGTGGTGGGTCATTGGATGGGTGACCGAAAAATTTCCGGCATTGCGTATTCATCGATGCTTCACAGGACAAGTAACTTGTGGCGTTTCTGTTATAAGAAAGCAGAAGTGTTTGTGATTGTCACTTCCATCCGTCAAAAGCAGTTAGCGAATCTCGTCCCGTCCCGTCTGGCACTTTTTGAATTGCTTCTAGTATAATTTTCTTTGGATTTAAAAATCATTATAACATTTCAAGGCTTAATTTCGTTGTGCGTGTTCGTGTTTCTGTGTAAGATACTTTGTTTTCACCGGCTACACTTGATTGTTCGCAGAATTTTATCATTTTTTTTTATTTGATCTGAACGCAAGGTACGCTTTTGGTAAGCTTCTATCGCATCGAGTCGTTAGTTTTTGTGAGTTTCTCCTATTAACAATAAAACATTAGTTATATATATAAAAAAAAACGAACGAGCCTTACAGTAGTCGCGTATGATGTATAACATTTGAAACCTCACCTAATATTAGTAAATAAAGAAATAAAACCAACAAACAAAAAGAATAAGCCATTTAAACATTATGTTCTAAAATCAAATCAAATAGCGCGCGCTTTTGCGACTTCCTGTTACATATTTCCGTCCCATTTTACGAAATCACTCCCACAAATTGCAGGTAAGCGAGAGGAAAGATATTACACATCAAAAAAATGCTGACAACTCCGTGCAGACATACAGACAAAATAATAATACATATTTACAAAATTATGACTAGTGTGTGATATTTTTTGAAATTGTGTGTTTCCAGAAATACATAATAAAATATATGATGAACATCGCTGATGTTAGATGATAAAATGTGTGACATGGAACCTATGATAGTCGAAACCATGGGACGATTCCTGAGGTACGAGTATCTCTACTTGTAACCGACTTCTTCGGACTTGATTTTGTTTTGTGTCTGTTCAAAGACAATCGTTTTTAGAGTGTAAACTCCGGTCGTGCGTCGGAGCTGACACACACATTTTTTTTTTGATGTGTAATACTGTTGACGGAAAATCGTAAGCGTTAGCGTTTTGAAAAGCATTTCCGTTAGGCGAATGGCCCCCAGGGTAGGCAACGGTGCGATTGATATTTTAGTATCGCAAGCATCTAGGAGCTCGATGACGCAGGTGGTTAGTGCGTTCGGCTGCGATCGTTGTGGTTAAGCAACTTTCGCAGTGGTCGGTCATTGGATGGGTGACCAAAAATTTCTATCTCGAGTTCCTCCGTGCTTCGGAAGGCACGTTAAGCCGTTGGTCCCGGTTGCATCTGCAATCGTTAGAACCCGCCAATCCGCACTGGGCCTGCGTGGTGGGTCATGGCCCAATCTCCCTATTCCATCCATAGGGAAGGCCTGTGCCCCAGCATTGGGGACATAAAGAGGCTGATGATGATCATGAAGCATCTATAGGCTATGGTGGCCCCTTTCGTTTGTATGTCACCCTTTAAACATAAAAAAATAGCGATTGTGTATTGTCGCGGATAGCCAAACGCGCTAGTTCGAATCGAAGAGCTTTTTTGATCGGTACAAATTCGATC